AGTCTGTTTTATGTAACATAAGAATGGTGATTCCTGCACTTTTTTGTTTGCATGGTAGATTTTTCTCTATCTCTTTACTTTGAGCTTGTACATGTCATTACATTTGAGGTGGGTCTTTTGAAGACAGAAGACAGTTGGGTCTTGTATTCTCATCCAGCTTGCCACTCTATGCCTTTTTATTGCAGCATTTGGACCATTTATTTTCAGGGTTAGTACTGATATGTGAGATTTTTTATTATTTATTTATTTATTTATTTATTTTTTGAGACGGAGTTTTGCTCTTGTTACCCAGGCTGGAGTGCAATGGTGCGATCTCGGCTCACCGCAACCTCCGCCTCCTGGATTCAGGCAATTCTCCTGCCTCAGCCTCCTGAGTAGCTGGGATTACAGGCACGCGCCACCATGCCCAGCTAATTTTTTGTATTTTTAGTAGAGACGAGGTTTCCTCAGGTTGACCAGGATAGTCTCGATCTCTTGACTTCGTGATCCACCCGCCTCGGCCTCCCAAAGTGCTGGGATTACAAGCTTGAGCCACGGCACCCGGCCTTTGATATGTGAGATTTTGATACTGTTATCATATTGCTAACTTTTGTTTTGTAAACTTGAATGTACAATTACGTGTGAAATTTGGCCCTGTTGTCTCTTGGCCCTACAGTAAACCAGAAATAGAGCAATTTGGGGAAGATTGGGAGCCTTGGGATATGGGAATCTGTGGCCATGTTCCACTGCAGCTGTCCTGTGTGCAAAAAACCCCAGGATCCATGCAGGCTGGAGCTCTGTCTCTGTCTACTTTCTGTGTACAATCTGGTCAGGACCCCTTCCCCACCCCCACCAGTTAAAATGTCTGTGGGGATTATGGGATCTCATGTAGCTAGGATCCCAGAATTTCACAGCAAGAGTGGTTTGCCTGATTATCTCTTCACTCACCCCTTCCCTGGGAGCCATTGTTGGGTGGAACTAGCACTAGCATTTGGCAACCCTGCACAAGGTTTACTGCTTCCTGTCTCATTGCCCCTGTATCAACTCTTGGTGTTTTCTCTCCAAAGATCTATTCAAAGTATGTTCCCTTATTGTACTTTGATAACAGACAAGTAAGATATTTTTGCACTATCCTTAAATATATCACTTTGTATTTATACCACTTTACATTTTGTCTTTGTATTTAAATTTCTTATGCTTTTAAAAAATATATTGTGAGAGTTTAATGGTAATGTGATATAGTATTCTATATAATATTAATAGTATAGCATATCAGTAATATGTAATATGCAATTATATAATATATAATATTAACATTACATGAGTAATGTTAATGAAATACTTGATAGTTTACTTAGAATTTTACATCTATCAGTTTCTTTAAAGCTCATAATCATCCTGTCAGGTAGATAGTATCTCTGTTTTAAAGATGAGAATTCTCAAAATATTCAGATAAATAAAACTAAATAAATAAGACTAAAGTCAATAACACTAAATTATATATAGATCTTTAACCTGTATCCTTTTAATAAATATAATTACTTTATTGTTTTATAGAAAAAATTGTATATACTGATTTGAAAAATTCAAATAAGAATCAAAATTTGACCTTTTAACAAGGATTGTTACTTGTCTTCTCTGACCATATTCCCTATATATACTTCTCAGTGTATATGCAGAAAGGGAGAAGATAGGTGATATAGCTAGTCAGAAAGAAATTAATTTTGAAAATGAAATATTTTTCATACAAAAATAGAAACTTTGATTTAATTTTTACTTTTATGTAACTGAGATAGAAGAACAGAAGTAAAACTGAAGACATAGTTGACCTTGAAAAGAAAAAGTTACCTGCAAATTTAAGAAAACAACTGTCATACAGAATTGGCATCCAGTGTTTTTGATTGTTTGAACTATGCAAAGTATCTACTACTTCCTTGCTATGAAAGACAAGAAATTATAACCATGTCAAGCTCAAAGTTGTTTAATTTCTGTATTTAAATAGATTCACTACTCGACATTGTAAGTTTTTGATGTATCACCATTTTTCTATTATTGAGCTGTTCTAATTAATCTCTTGGTTGCCTAGATTTCATTGTCAGTTTTGTGTATGCATATTTTTAAGGTAAGTTTTTATGTACTAATCACCAAATCTCTTGCATAGTTTTCAGTGACTTTCTATTCATTATAGAAGAAACACTTGGATGAGTATACAATTCTTGATTTATACTTTTACATTAAAACTCTACAGTCATTTCTCAACTTCTTCTAATGTTAATTATGTTCAAGTCTTCAGTGCCTTTTGTACAGTAAAAGATTAGAAATCCCTTCCCTAATTTGTCTTAACATTTTTTTCTCTATCACACGAGCTTGAAAATACTAAGGACATTTAGAATGGAGAAAAGAAAATTTGATATATATTTAATGTCTGTCCAACTAAAGGGCTGTTAGCAAAAAGCCAACTCTTCCTTATTCTGTTTAATGTGGTCTAGATACCCATTTTTCTGAGCTTTCATAGTACTCTTTACTTTTTATCATAATATTTATGAGGTTATTGTATAACCGTCTACATTGAGGTCGACTGTGGATTCCTTGAATGAATGCAGACACATTATAAGCATTCAGTAATTTTTTTATTTGAAGGGATTAGTTTTGTCTTCTATTGATTTGTTGTGGCTTCCAAGAATACTGTGTTAAGTCTGATTAGGAAGCCTGCTAGATCAGCAAGAATGTTTACAGTGGTAAATTAGTAACGCCTGCTGTGAGCCAGAGAATTAAAAAATGGAAAAAAATGGCCAATAACAGATTATTTTAAAGCTTTTTAAAATTTGTCACCTTTCCCAAAGGTGACAAATGTTGTTTATCTTAGATTAGGTGCTGGTTATTTGCCACAGATGGCAGAATCAGGACTATTAGATAAATACACCAGGAGGTCGATTTTGGCCTAATATAAGGAAGAATGTTTTAATTATTAGATAGGTTTAAAAATTGTGTTTGATGCTAGAGTCCTTGGGGCAAGTGAATTTCCTTGTCCTGAAATTGTTACCACATAAATTAGCTAAATATTTGTGAAATGTTTAACATTATAGACACTTTCAGTTCTACTACTTTAAGTCTGTAAACATGAGCTTTAAACATAATCAACATATGCATAAATAATTTAAACACAATCAAGATATGCTTAAATAATTCATTTTATAGCACAGAAACAGTATTACATGTGTGAAAATAATTCCTAAATTATCAATATAATTTAATGTTCATTACTTTTTTGAGATGAGGTTTTGTTGTTTTGTCCAGGCTAGTCTTGAACTTGTGGGCTCAAGCATTCCTCCTAATTCAATCTCTTAAAGATCATGAGCCACCACACCCATCTTCTAAATTCTCAATTTTAATGAGCTCATGCAAGTTTATATGGTTTATATCTATAAGATACTTAAATTAGAATAGTCTTTCTGCTATATACTTGAAACTGCTATGAAATGATAGTTAATGAATCTCCTTAACTTAGTAAATAATAACACCATCTGCTAGGCTGCTTAAGCTAAAACCCAATAGTTACATTAATTTCTCTTTCTTTGACTTTCCCTCAGTCACTCAATCAACAAGGCCTGTGTTCTCTACTTCAGTCCTGAATCTGCCCTTCATATCCACTCTCACCATCATCTTTCTCTGGTCTATTGCAATACCTCCTGTTCAGTCCCTCTCTTTTTTTACCCTTCTAAGTCATCCATTCTCATTCCAGGAGCAAAGTTATTTTTCTTAAAACACAGACGAGATCATGTCACTTTCCTATATAAAACACTCCAGTAGGTTCCTTATTCTAGTGGCATAAAATCAAGCTTCTTATCTTTATCTAAAAAGCTTTAAAATAATCTGTTATTGGCCATTTTTTTTTCCATATTACCTCTTTCCCTTCATCTACATGCCCAGCTACACTGGGCTGGTAGTGCAGGAGATGGGGAAAAGTAGTCAATTATGGATCCATTCTGAAGGTAGAGGCAATAGCAATTCCTGGCAAATATATTGTGATATAAAGAGTTTAAAGAGTCCTCCAAGGTTTTTGTACTGAGTGATTAGAAAATCTCCCCATAATTTAAAATGAGAGAAACTAAATTTGGGGTTGATTTAGAACAGAAGATTAGGAATGTACTTCCAGAGATACTGAATTTAAGGTATCTAAGCATTAGATATATGAGCCTGGAGTTCAGAAGTCTGAGCTTAGGTAACAATTTGTGAGTTGTTGAAATATACTTGGTATTTAAAGTCATGAAACTTCCTGCAGTTACCAATGAAGTGAATATGGATAAAAATATGAACGCCCAAGAACTGAGAGAAACCATTAGAATATTAAGAAATTTTTGGGAGTTTACCCCAGCTTGTTCTAAGGTGCAGCCGCGCTGAGAGTTACCTGAGAGCGCGGCGGCGTGGGGCGAGGGCCCCGGGAGGAGGATGCCGGCCCCTGCGCGGCCCCACTCACGGGGATCCACTCCAACCTCGCGCTCTTCCAGGGCCTGCGGCCAGGGTGCCACGCCCTCGGCACCTTCCACGTCCTGCGTGGGCCCACCCGGACAGGTGCGCCTCGGCATTCCGGAGGAAGGAAACTGGGGCACTGGGGTCTGCAGCGCCGCCCAGGGCCGGGGCTAGGACCGAGCGCGCGCCCGGAGCTCCGCGCTCTCGACTGCAGCCGAGCCCGCTGTGTCCCCGACCCCATTTAAAAAACTTAGGTCCGGGCGCCACGTGCCCACTCCCCCACCGCGCCTTAGTTGATTAGGGCTTTCTAACTTTTCCACTCGATTGCCGCCAAGCGAGCTATTACGCCGCTTCGGACCCCACGGTGGAGACGCGGGAGGAGAGTGACCACGCATTCTTCGGAGCTGGCTGTCTCCATCACCCGCTAGCCCGCCACCTTTAAAACTAAGAAACAGGCACAACGCCCAAGTGAGAAAGTCCGAGGCTGAGAGCGGCCGAGCAGAGGATAGAAAAGTGGAGCCGGCCCAGGAGCACATTGAGCGCCCGGTGTGAGCAGAGGTCGGGGTGCAGGCGGAATGGCCCTGGTGCCCTATGACGAGACCACGGAATTGGGGTTGCAGAAATTCCACAAGCCTCTTGCAACCTTTTCCTTTGCAAACCACACGATCCAGATCCGGCAGGACTGGAGACACCTGGGAGTCGCAGCGGTGGTTTGGGAGGCGGCCATGGTTCTTTCTACGTATCTGGAGATGGGAGCTGTGGAGCTCAGGGGCCGCTCTGCTGTGGAGCTGGATGCTGGCACGGGGCTGGTGGGCATAGTGGCTGCCCTGCTGGGTGCTCATGTGACTATCACAGATCGAAAAGTAGCATTAGAATTTCTTAAATCAAACGTTCAAGCCAACTTACCTCCTCATATCCAATCCAAAGCTGTTAAGGAGCTGACTTGGGGACAGAATCTGGGGAGTTTTTCTCCTGGAGAATTTGACCTGATACTTGGAGCTGATATCATATATTTAGAAGAAACATTCACAGATCTTCTTCAAACACTGGAACATCTCTGTAGCAATCACTCCGTCATTCTTTTAGCATGCCGAATTCGCTATGAACGGGATAACAACTTCTTAGCAATGCTGGAGAGGCAATTTACTGTGAGAAAGGTTCATTACGATCCTGAAAAAGATGTACATATTTACAAAGCACAGAAGAGAAACAAGAAGGAGGACTTATAATTGGCTATAATTTATAAGAATATTGTCATTGAGTGGGTCACTTAAGGTCTTAGACTGCGAATCTAACCATATTTAATGAAGTGGCTTACTGCACAAGAAGTCTGACCCCAAGGTTCTCAGGCAACAAAGCACATGTGCGGTTTTAAAACAAAGCAATGCCTCCTCCCATTGTGGTGATTTTTAGTCATACTTTACTCACTGTGAAATCCAATTAACATTAAAGGATTAAGAGTGAGATTTTGGTTTATGCTGTTTCTGTACTCCATACTACTCTTAATAAACAGTTTCCACTGATGATATGAAAGGCTGTTATAAAGATGTCTCTAAATGAGTAAGCTTTCTTTAGTAAGATTAAATCATACAAATTATTTTTAAAACCTTCTGATATATACAATGTTTAGCCGAGTTTTCTAATTTTCCAGATGTAAAATAAAAGGTTTAACATACAAAAAAAAAAAAAAGAAAGAAAGAAATTTTTGGAGAAAGAGAAAGAATCTGCAAAAGAGACTGAGATATGACCACTGAGATAAGATAAGGGTTGCAACCCGCTTCTTCCAAACTCCTGTTAAACTTTTAATTCCTGTTAATTTATTTAATCAATTTAAATTTATTTAATCTTTTAATATTAACTTCTGTTAGTATTTTGATCTCTTATGAATAACAAATATTCCCAATGGCATATAGAATGGTGAATCTTTTCCAGGTTTTCAGTTTACTTTGCCTACATCCATCAGAGGAATCACCATCTATAGCAGCTGTAATCTTATGAAAAGTATTTATTAAATAAGAAAACTTGAAAATCAAAATTACTGCTAGAATAATGGGCCTCAGAATAGATGTTATGTTAGCAGGCAGGAAAACAACTTGGGTAACTAAGTTCATTGTCAGTAAGCAGTAATACTTTGAAAGGAATCTTTTTTTCTAAGCAGTAGGTCTCAATAGTGGGATTAAAATACTGAACCATCCTATAAAAAATGTGCTGTCATCTCGGATTTATTGTTGCATTTATAAACCACAGGCAAAGTAGACTTAGAAAAATTCTTAAAGCCCTAGAAGGGCCCTAAGATTTTTGGAATAGCAAGTGACCATTAGCTTTAACTTAAAGTCATTAGCTGAATTAGACCCCAACAAGAGAGTCAACCTGTCCTTTAATGATTGGAAGCCATTCATTGACTTCACCTCTCTAGTTATGAAAGTCAAAGATGGCATATTCTTTCACTGTTTTATTCACAGTGAAAATCTGGGTCAGGCATGGTGGCTCACACTTGTAATCCCAGCATGTTGGGAGGCCTCAGTGGGCAGATCACCTGAGGTCAGGAGTTTGAGATCAGCCTGGCCAACATGGAAAAAAACCTCATCTCTACTAAAAATACAAAAATTTGCCAGGTATGGTGGCATGTGCCCATAATTTCAGCTACTTGGGAGGCTGAAGCAGGAGACTCTCTTGAACTTGTGAGGTGGAGGTTGCAGTGAGGTGAGATTGTGCCACCACACCCCAGGCTGGGTGACAAAGCAAGACTCTGTCTCAAAAAAAATTAAAAATACATATGTGGTGTTTAATATAGCCACCTTCCTCAATTATCTTAGTTGGATCTTCTGACTGACTTGCTATAGCTTTTACATTAGCACTTGCTGCCTTACTTAGCCTTTTTCTGTTATAGAAATAGTTTCCTTCCTTAAATCTCATACACCAGACTCTGCTAGCTTCAAATTTCTTCTGCAGCTTTCTCACCTTTCTCAGACTTCATAGAATTGAAGAGATTTAGGGCCTTTCCATGGATTAGATTTTGGCTAAAGGGAATATTGTGGCTGGTTTCATCTTCTGTCTATCACTAAAACTACCTTCATATCAAAAATAAGGCTCTTTTTGTTTCTTTTCACTCATGTATTCACTGGATTAGCACTTTTACTTTCCTTCAAAAACTTTTCCTTTGCATTGACAACTTGGGCTGTTTGGTGTAGGAGTTCGAGCTTTTGGCCTGCCTTACCTTTCAACATGTTTAAACTTAATCATTTCTACCTTTTGATTTGATGTGAGTCATGTGTCTACATGACTTCCTTTCACTTGTAACACTTAGAGGACATTGTAGGGTAGACATGATATCATCTTTATCATCATAAATATGATAAACTTAGTTGATAGATGTCATGGGTGTTCTCCATCTCTCTCCCTCCCCGTGAGCCTCCCCATTCCTGAGGTACAACAAGGAATAGGGAGGCTCATGAGGAGAGAGAGAGAGATGAAGAACACCCATGACATCTACCAACTAAGTTTATCATCTTTTATGGGTGTGGCTGGTGATGCCTCAAAACAATTACAATAGTAACATCAAAGGTCACTGAGCACAGATTGTTATAACAGGAATAATATTAATGAGAATGTTTGAAATGTGAGAATGACAAAAATTTGACACAGAGACTCAAAGTGAGGACCTGCTGCTGGGAAAATGACACTGATAGTCCTGCTTGATGCAAGGATGCCACAAACCTTCAATATGTGAAAAATCACAACATCCATGAAGTACAATAAAGCACAATAAACAAGGTATGCCTATACATTGCCAAATGCATGGGACTGTTACTGGCCATATGTAGTTAATCAAGCGAGATTTCTTTATTGTTTTAGGATAACATTTAATTTATTTTAGAATATTTATTAACAGACTATTTGTCCTCAGGGCCACTTTATTTAGGTCATCCTTTTGGGAATGAAATTGAGTCCTAGAACTAGAAATAATATTTCGAATAGGTTACACCTGCCTCTTCATTATATGGATAGGGAATACAAGCCCTAAAATGCTAAGGACCTCTGGCTGTAATCCTTTTATGGGAAAGGATTACTCCTATTATTGATAGTGTTTAATACCAATGCCATACTATTAAACTTGTCTCGTTTTGGTGAGAAGTTCTTTATAGCTGCTCTCAATCTTTTCTCTGCTGGTACATTTTCAAGACTAATTTCTACTAGGATTGCTGGGCTAATTAAATGATAGTGGAAAAACATTTTCCAGCATTATGGTTGGAACAGGAACAGTAAATCACCACAAGTACAAATTGGGAACTGTGTCTTAATATCATTAGGAAAAAGGCTCACAGAAAACTGTGTCAGTCAAACCCCAGTATTTAATGAGTGTACACATCAGTTGGTTCAGAGTAGTGTCCAAAAGAATTTGCTGGAAGCAAGTATTCTCTTGATACTTGAGTCATGTATGGCTTAATATATGCAAAAGAGAAAGCAGAACATGTATTTCTTCCAAATATGTAGAAAAATACATACATTTTATGAAAGGAAGCCATTGAGGTGTACTACACATTTAAAAAGTGATCCATAAATTTTACTCTTATTGCAATCAGTAAATGAGACTCAATAACCAGGAATGTGAATGTGATCAGCATTATTTAAGTTGGGTGCAGAAAAATGGAGATTATTTTGTAAGTTGACAAAGTTTTGCATAGTTTTGAAGGAGTCGGGGGCATGTAATATAGTGACTTCAGACCGGCTCTCATTGTGCTAATTCTCACTAGCCTTGATTAAGTCATACAACTTTTAGCAAATTCCTTAATTTCTCTTGTTCTCAACTTACCCATTTTTAAAATCAGATAGCTGGATTAGGGAATTTTGACCCTCCTAGCTCTGAAACTCTGTCATCTTTCTAAAAATGGCACTTATACAGATCAAAGAGTATGTATTTCTCCTCTAAGCTATCTCTAGATATACCAGCTCACATTTCATGTCACTCCTAATGAAATATTACCTCCATACTTCCACTTTCTCTCAATTTAAACTCATTCTTAAATGATACACATAAAGTGTAGGAACCCAAGCAGACAACCAAGAATACCATCTCAATAGTGAGTCACAAGAATTTTATCCAGATTTGGCAAGGGCTATAGGATCAGAATGAAAGGAATGTGCATAGTACAGAGAAACTTTTAGAGTGCAACAAGAGAGTTAACACTATTATTTATATAGAAAATACTATATTTATATAATAATTATATATACACAACATACTGGTTGGCTAGGAGGAGAACTGCATATAAATGCATCTGTCCCCTTCCACAATTTGATTCCCTGTGATAGTGTTCTTTGCCTAGGGTAGTTTTGAGGGAGAGCATACATGGAGGCATAATAGTCCTTCTTCACTCGGGAGCAGCCCAATTGTCTCCTCAAACCTTAGTAGTGAAATTAATAACTGCCATCCCTGAAGTTTGAGTACCTGAATGATCTTAAATCTGAGAAAAGAATGGAGCTCTTGACAGTGATAGAAAAACTGCTTGTTTGGGGAGAGGAAAAAATAACACTAATTGCTTTAAAACTTGAATCTGCTGATTGAAAAGATATCCAGAGGGTAGCATCCAGAGTTGTATCCAGAGTTGTATATTATCCAGTGGCTCCTACCTGTTTCAAGAAGCTTCTAGGGCTTTTATTTTTGTCATTTGATTGGAAAAAAGCTAGATTATTCTCTCTGTTTAATTCAGACCTAATACTGGTGTGCTTTGGACTTGGCTTACTCTTTGTAATTTCTTAGTCCTCAAAAGGTAAGAGAAAGCTTTTCCCCAGCATTTTCTCTCCACCATAAATTACCTAGATTAGGAATTATATAAATTTCCTAGTGTCTTCTCCAAGGTGACTGAAAATTTCCAAGATCTCTATAGCTCCTTGGTTAAATGAGGAGCCAAGGATTTAGGCTACAACTTAATCATAGAAAAGCAAGGAAAAATACTAAAGTAAACATTTTTGGTTGGTTTTTAATTCACTAATACCTGTGTGAATGAGATCAAAATAGAAAAGTTACATTTCATCTTAGCGAATCTATCTAATTTTTAAAGATGATACACAAGCCAACATACCAAAGTTAAGAAAAGTATGTGTATATATGTTGTGGTCTGAGCAAAGGAAAGATAAATATGTATTAATTTAGTAGGTGTTCAAAATCTGGCTGGCACTATAAAGACCCTGCACCCTGTACATTTGTTTACTTATTTGGTCCTCACAC